CTCCCTCTACATGACAGTGAGAGTAGTGAAAATTGTCCTTACACATGTCAGTGATAGTAGAGTAGATTGTCCCTATACATGTCAATGATAGTAGTGTAGACTTACCCATGTCAGTGATAGTAATGTAGACTTTCTACACATGTCAGTGATAGTAGTATAGACTGTCCCTACACATGTCAATGATAGTAGTGTAGACTGTCCCTACACATGTCAAAGATGATAGTAGTGTAGACTGTATACCCTAGACTGTCCCTACACATGTCAGTGATAGTAGTGTAGACTGTCCTTACATCTGTCAGTGATAGTAGTGTAGACTGTCCCTACACATGTCAATGATAGTAATGTAGACCGTCCCTACACATGTCAATGATAGTAGTGTAGACTGTCCCTACACATGTCAATGATAGTAATGTAGACTGTCCCTACACATGTCAATGATAGTAGTTTAAACTGTCTATACACATGTCAGTGATAGTAGTGTAGACTGTCCTTACACATGTCAGTGATAGTAGTCCTTACACATGTCAGTGATAGTAGTGTAGACTGTCCTTACACATGTCAGTGATAGTAGTTTAGACTGTATATACACATGTCAGTGATAGTAGTGTAGACTGTCCCTACACTTGTCAATGATAGTAGTGTAGACCGTCCCTACACATGTCAATGATAGTAGTGTAAGCCGTCTCTACACGTGTCAGTGATAGTAGTATAGACTGTTCCTGCAAATGTCAGTGATAGTAGTGTAGACTCTCCTTACACTTGTCAGTGATAATAGTGTAGGCTGTCCCAAAATATGTAAATGATAATAGTGTATACACTCCCTCTACATGACAGTGAGAGTAGTGAAGACTGTCCTTACACATGTCAGTGATAGTAGAGTAGATTGTCCCTATACATGTCAATGATAGTAGTAGATAGTCAGAGATAGTAGTTTAAACTGTCCCTACACATGTCAGTGATAGTAGTGTAGACTGTCCTTACACATGTCAGTGATAGTAGTTTAGACTGTATATACACATGTCAGTGATAGTAGTGAAGACTGTCCTTACACATGTCAGTGATAGTAGTGAAGACTGTCCTTACACATGTCAGTGATATTAGTGTAGACTGTCCCTATACATGTCAGAGATAGTAGTGTAGACCGTCCCTAAACATGTCAATGATAGTATTGTAGACTGTCCCTACACATGTCAATGATAGTAGTTTAAACTGTCTATACACATGTCAGTGATAGTAGTGTAGACTGTCCTTACACATGTCAGTGATAGTAGTAGTGACTGTATATACACATGTCAGACTGACACATGTCAGTGATAGTAGTGTAGACTGTCCCTATACATGTCAGTGATAGTAGTGAAGATATTCCCTACACACGTCAGTGATAGTAGTGTAGGCTGTCCCAAACATGTCAATGATAATAGTGTATACACTCCCTCTACATGACAGTGAGAGTAGTGAAGACTGTCCTTACACATGTCAGTGATAGTATAGATAGTCAATGATAGTACTGTCCCTACACATGTCAATGATAGTAGTTTAGACTGTCTATACACATGTCAGTGATAGTAGTGTAGACTGTCCTACACATGTCAGTGATGATAGTAGTGTAGACTGTCCCTATACACATGTCAGTGATAGTAGTGTAGACTGTCCTTACACATGTCAGTGATAGTCCACACATGTCAATGATAGTAGTGTAGACTGTCCCTACACATGTCAGTGATAGTAGTGTAGACTGTCCCTACACATGTCAATGATAGTAGTGTAGACTGTCCCTACACATGTCAATGATAGTAGTGTAGACCGTCCCTACACATGTCAATGATAGTAGTGTAGACTGTCCCTACACATGTCAGTGATAGTAGTGTAGACTGTCCCTACACATGTCAGTGATAGTAGTGTAGAGTGTCGCTATACGTGTCAGTGATAGTAGTGTAGACTTTCTCTACATGTGTCAGTGATAGTAGTGTAGACTGTTCCTACAAATGTCAATGATAGTAGTGTAGGCCGTCTCTACACGTGTCAGTGATAGTAGTATAGACTGTCCCTATACATGTGAGTGATAGTAGTCTAGAGTGTCGCTATACGTGTCAGTGATAGTAGTGTAGACTTTCTCTACATGTGTCGGTGATAGTAGTGTAGACTGTTCCTACAAATGTCAATGATAGTAGTGTAGACCGTCCCTACACATGTCAATGATAGTAGTGTAGGCCGTCTCTACACATGTCAGTGATAGTAGTGTAGACTGCCCTTACACATGTCAGTGATAGTAGTTTAGACTGTATATACACATGTCAGTGATAGTAGTGTAGACTGTCCTTACACATGTCAGTGATAGTAGTTTAGACTGTATATACACATGTCAGTGATAGTAGTGAAGACTGTCCTTACACATGTCAGTGATAGTAGTGAAGACTGTCCTTGCACATGTCAGTGATGGTAGAGTAGATTGTCCCTACACATGTCAATGATAGTAGTGTAGACTGTCCCTATACATGTCAGAGATAGTAGTTTAAACTGTCTATACACATGTCAGTGATAGTAGTGTAGACTGTCCTTACACATGTCAGTGATAGTAGTTTAGACTTTCTCTACACGTGTCAATGATATTAGTATAGACTGTCCCTACACATGTCAATGATAGTAGCGTAGACCGTCCCTACACATGTCAATGATAGTAGTGTAGACTGTCCCTACACATTTCAATGATAGTAGTGTAGACCGTCCCTACACATGTCAATGATAGTAGTGTAGGCCGTCTCTACACGTGTCAATGATAGTGGTGTAGACTGTCCCTACACATGTCAATGATAGTAATGTAGACTGTCCCTACACATGTCAATGATAGTGGTGTAGACTGTCCCTACACATGTCAATGATAGTAGTGTAGACCGTCCCTACACATGTCAATGATAGTAGTGTAGGCCGTCTCTACACGTGTCAATGATAGTGGTGTAGACTGTCCCTACACATGTCAATGATAGTAGTGTAGACCGTCCCTAAACATGTCAATGATAGTATTGTAGACTGTCCCTACACATGTCAATGATAGTAATGTAGACTGTCCCTACACATGTCAATGATAGTAGTGTAGACTGTCCCTACACATGTCAATGATAGTAGTGTAGACCGTCCCTACACATGTCAATGATAGTAGTGTAGGCCGTCTCTACACGTGTCAGTGATAGTAGTATAGACTGTCCCTATATATGTGAGTGATAGTAGTGTAGAGTGTCGCTATACGTGTCAGTGATAGTAGTGTAGACTGTCCCTATACCTGTCAGTGATAGTAGTGTAGACTGTCCCTATACATGTCAGTGATAGTAGTGTAGACTGTCCCTATACCTGTCAGTGATAGTAGTGTAGACTGTCCCTATACCTGTCAGTGATAGTAGTGTAGACTGTCCCTATACCTGTCAGTGATAGTAGTGTAATCTGTCCCTATACGTGTCAGTGATAGTAGTGTAATCTGTCCCTATACGTGTCAGTGATAGTAGTGTAATCTGTCCCTATACCTGTCAGTGATAGTAGTGTAATCTGTCCCTATACCTGTCAGTGATAGTAGTGTAATCTGTCCCTATACCTGTCAGTGATAGTAGTGTAATCTGTCCCTATACCTGTCAGTGATAGTAGTGTAATCTGTCCCTATACCTGTCAGTGATAGTAGTGTAGTCTGTCCCTATACCTGTCAGTGATAGTAGTGTAATCTGTCCCTATACCTGTCAGTGATAGTAGTGTAATCTGTCCCTACACATGTCAGTGATAGTAGTGTAATCTGTCCCTATACCTGTCAGTGATAGTAGTGTAATCTGTCCCTATACCTGTCAGTGATAGTAGTGTAATCTGTCCCTATACCTGTCAGTGATAGTAGTGTAATCTGTCCCTATACCTGTCAGTGATAGTAGTGTAATCTGTCCCTATACGTGTCAGTGATAGTAGTGTAGTCTGTCCCTATACCTGTCAGTGATAGTAGTGTAATCTGTCCCTATACCTGTCAGTGATAGTAGTGTAATCTGTCCCTATACCTGTCAGTGATAGTAGTGTAGACTGTCCCTATACCTGTCAGTGATAGTAGTGTAATCTGTCCCTATACGTGTCAGTGATAGTAGTGTAATCTGTCCCTATACCTGTCAGTCCGTAATAATAATACATTGTCTTTTTGTGCAGTTTACTATAATATAGACTATCAATAAAGTTGATGTTTAAGTAATATATTCGCTCTCTGATGTTGTTTTCCAGCCTTTTTACAACAGTTTTTGCCCTTTAAGGTTTTTTAAAGTATTAATTGAGAAAAGTGCTTATTTTCCCTGAAGATGTATTTCGGACTGTCCCTAACGTTTTTAACTGTATACGTGGATGTTTTTAATGTTTTACCCTGCACTACACTGCTTGAGGTTTTTCCTGTTTTGATCGAAGTTACCATCACTTTACATAATAACGACGAACGACGTATTACCATATTGATAATATCTGATGTTATCACTTATAATTATTTTGTACACTAGTACATGCTTTCTGAAAACATTTCAATCCGTTTATTTCTTTTTCAAACAGTTTGAGGGTAAACATATTTGCGACAATGAATTTAACAAATTATTTTGCTATGAGGTTGAAAGTAAGTCATCTATAACGACGAAAGTGGTTAATGATAGGATACCGAACGCCAGAAAGTCTACAAAGTTGTTATAAAAATACTTACCAGTCAATTGAATCTCAATTTATACTCAGGTTTGATGAAACTATGACAATTTGTTCAGCAAATGTTTGATATACAAAGAAATGTTAACATGTTATGTAAGTACAATTAAAAAAAACATGTCCTAATATAGAAGGGCTATCAACCACATTTTCACTATCCTCACTGTCTTCGTCCATACTGTCAGCATCCATACTGTCAGCATCCGCACTATCAATATTCTCACTGTCACCATCCACACTTATCATCCACACTATCAATATCCACAAAGTCATCATCCACACTGTCATCATTCTCTTTTTCATCAGCCACACTTATCATCCACACTATCAATATCCACACTGTCATCATCCACACTGTCATCATCCACTCTGACATCATCCACACTGTCATCCTCCCCACTGTCGTCATCCACACTGTCATCCTCCTCACTGTCGTTATCCACACTGTCATCATCATCACTGTCATCATCCACACTGTCATCATCTTCACTGTCACCATCCTTACTGTCATCATCCACACTGTCATCATCCACTCTGACATCATCCACACTGTCATCCTCCTCACTGTCGTCATCCACACTGTCATCATCATCACTGTCATCATCCACACTGTCATCATCCTCACTGTCACCATCCTCACTGTCATCATCCACACTGTCATCTTCCTCACTGTCATCATCCTCACTGTCATCATCCTCACTGTCATCATCCACACTGTCATCATCCACACTGTCACCATCCTCACTGTCATCATCCACACTGTCATCCTCCTCACTGTCATCATCATCACTGTCAAAATTCTCACTTTCACTGACATGTGTAGGGAGAGTCTTCACTACTATCACTGACGTGTGTAGGGAATGTCTATCACTGACATCACTACACTGATATATATAAGGACAGTCTAAACAACTGTCACTGAAATGTGTAGGGACAGTCTACACTATCACTGACATGTATAGGGACAGTCTACACTACTATCACTGACATATGTAGGGACAGTCTACACTACTATCACTGACATGTATAGGGACAGTCTACACTACTATCACTGACATGAGTACTGAAAGACTAAACCAATATCGCAGACATACTGACATGTGTAGGGACAGTCTACACTACTATCACTGACATGTGTGGGGACAGTCTACAATACTATCACTGACATGTGTAGGAACAGTCTACACTACTATCACTGACATGTGTAGGGACAGTCTACACTACTATCACTGACATGTGTAGGGACAGTCTACACTACTATCACTGACATGTGTGGGGACAGTCTACAATACTATCACTGACATGTGTAGGAACAGTCTACACTACTATCACTGACATGTGTAGGGACAGTCTACACGAATATCACTGACATATTTAGAGACAGTCTACACTACTATCACTGACATGTGTAGGGACAGTCTACACTACTATCACTGACATGTGTAGGGACAGTCTACACTACTATCACTGACATGTGTAGGGACAGTCTACACTACTATCACTGACATGTGTAGGGACAGTCTACACTACTATCACTGACATGTGTAGGGACAGTCTACACGAATATCACTGACATGTGTAGGGACAGTCTACACTACTATCACTGACATGTATAGGGACAGTCTACACTACTATCAGTCTACACTACTATCACTGACATGTGTAGGGACAGTCTACACTACTATCACTGACATGTGTAGGGACAGTCTACACGAATATCACTGACATATTTAGAGACAGTCTACACTACTATCACTGACATGTGTAGGGACAGTCTACACTACTATCACCGACAGGTGTATATACAGTCTAAACTACCATCACTGACATGTGTAAGGACAGTCTACACTACTATCACTGACATGTATAGGGACAGTCTTCACTACTACCACAGACATGTATAGGGACGGTCTACACTAATATCAATGACATTTCCACTGGACTTTTTTTTCGTTCAATTTGATAATTTTAAGTTGATCATTTCCATCATGTTCTTGTCAGGAACAAGATTTCAATATCATTTATCTGGCGATGTGGTGTCAAATTTCGTCTACTCGATATAAAAAAAAATTAGTAATAGTAATATTCTGATGAAAATTCATTCTAGGAATTTTACTGAATAAACCCAATGACGTCAGCGGTTTATATATTAACTCCCTTAGTCTTATCATTGATAAAAGGAACGATAGGGTCTCGTGGACGACAACCACGTTCAACACGGATTTAATTGGAAATATTGCCATCTCGATTAATAGAGACGATCTCATTAGTATGAAAAACTTTTAACCCATTATCGGAAATCTTTTCTGATATTAAAATAATACTATTTATCAAATCCCAAGAGATTGAATCGAAAGTGGGTTTTTTTTCAAAATCAATTAACACTAACATACTACGAAGGTGTTGATCCTCTATATATAAACTGCGTTATATCGTAACTTTTACCGCTCAGCTTAAATTCCTCTCTGATCCTCACTGATAATACTTCTTAAAACTGTTCTTTTTTTAATTCCTACGTGAAATTTACTCAAAAGCAATATGTAACATAGAAACTGGTCTCCATTTTGTTAAGGACGTAGTTTATGTCCCTTTGTGATACATGTTATTGTAGAATGTCGTTTAAGAACTGAACAGTTTGCAACTAAAAAGTCATGATTCATAGAACGCACAACAAAAAATCCTATATACTTTCAAAAATCTTTTTAAACATTTTTCTGTAAAGCTATCTGACCCAGGAATCTTATTGTTTTTCGACTGTCGGTGTTTTTCCAGCTTCCTCAAATGTTATGATACCCTCCAAAACTCTGAATTTCTATATATGCAGATGAATTTTCAAATCAGCATTGTTTACACTCCTATATTTAAAGAGAGTTTCATAAAAGGACATCATCTCTAAGAGAATATTATCTTTCTTTGTAATCTTGTCATTTTCGTTCTGAATTTTTATGTATAATTTTTAATACAAAATTTCTATTCTCATTGAGCAACATTCTATTTCTTTGTACGATATGAAGCTGGACGTATTTGATGCTCGTTAGTTTACCTGTTGGTTCCTTTGTTGTATACCTTGTTCTCATTTGAGAACGTGACATTACTTATTTGGATTTACCAAAGTTTACATGACATGTGTCGTCGATGAAGCAGAGGGTGCTTACTCTTCCGGAACACCTGGTACCTCGTGCTTTTTCAGGAGTCTTCGTTATGGAATTTGAGTTGGGATTATGATTTTGTTGCTATGCTGTTATTTTCTTGATTTTAAAAATATAGAAAAAATAAGAAGTAGGTTTTTTCCCTTTCTCTTGCCACCTAGCTCTATTGATATTACCTCATATCTTTAAAGGCGAATGGATTCTAGTTAATTTTTTTCTTTGTCTTGACCTTTTTAGATTTGTTTGCTTGTTTTTTTCTAAAACAGATGAAATGGACATTCTTATTTCTATTACTAAATTTTCTGAAATATATTATATTTAACAGTTTTCTTTCATTGTCATTAATACAGACAATTTTTCAAATGACATCAAGACCATACAATAAAGAGGTATTTAACTTTTATATTTCCTTTACTAAAGTCGTTGAAAGATCATTTAAATTCTAGTGTAGAGTTGTCAGACCATCAAAAATGTATCCTGGATCAGTTGTAGACATATTTACACCAGACTAACAAGAATCTGAGATAAGAAAGTAGTTTCGATCAATTTTAGATAATAAAATGTCGTTAACACTGTTTATGTGTAATCAGTCACTTTGAACCTTTTATCTGCAATTTTTCAAAAAATTTGAAAATGTATAAAGATGTTTTTTCTCCTTAAGCAATGTACTGATAGTTAGTATATATGGAATCAGTCAACTAGACCATGCAATGCTGGTTCACATGACAACAACTTCGTCACGTTCAGCTAGGAGGCATGTTATCTTTATTTTAATCATGCGTGACAAACTGTATAAGTAGCATGTTCTTGACAATAGAGTGAATTGTGGGTGCAGGATCCGCTGCGAAGAGTTCGACAGATTCATTCGACATAAGGTAAGATGGTGATATTGGTTTACTTAATCAAGCCTCTAACTTTTTAAACTCTTCAGATCATACGTCGTTGTTAAGAATTAAACACACTTCGTTTTATTTATTCTACTTTCACGTTAATCCCGTCATCATGTTTTATGTAACATTAATCCTGTCATCATGTTTTATTTAACATTAATCCCGTCATAATGTTTTATTTATCATTAACCTCGTCATAATGATTTATTAACATTAATCCTGTCACCATGTTTTATTTAACATTAATCCCGTCATCATATCTTATTTAACATAAACCCACCATCATGTTTTATTAGCTCATCTGGTCCGACGGACCGGTGAGCTGAGATCATACGTCCGGGCGCCGCGCCCGTCGTTCGTCCGTCTGTAAACTTTTTTCTACAAATCGCTATTAGTCAAGAACGATTGACCGAATTTTGACCAAATTTTGTCAGAAACATTCCTACGTGCAAATTTTGTATAAACTGTGGTTCTTTGCCCCCTGGGGCGACGCCAAATAGGGGAAATAGTTTTTTTTTAAATTCTACTTCTCCTGTAGAAATGATCAGATTTTGCCCGAATTTGTACGAATGATCGGTCTCGGTCTCCTGGGGCCAGAGAGAGGGAACCCAATGGGGAAAGAGAGCAAATTCTTTAAACTCCTACTTCCCCTGTAAGAATGAGTGGATTTTGCCCAAATTTCGTAATTCTGTCTATACAAAACAGTTTTGTATAAACGGTTGGTCTCGAACAGCTGGGCCACAGGGGCGGAGCCCAACTGAAGAAATAAAGCAGATTATTTAAAATCCAACATCTACTGAAGCAATCGCTGGGTTTTGGATAGAAAAGCATTCCTTGGTAACGGGAAATCAGTTTTGTATAGACCTTGGGTCACAGTCCCCTAAAATTAGAACACATTCTTCAAAATCCTACTCCATAAGAATGACTAGATTTTGCTCAAATCTGGTCTAAAACATTGTTGGTTGAAGGGGAACAAATTTTGTATGAAAGGTTGATCTCAACACCCTGGATCAGGAGGAATAGGAGGGCAACACCCATTTTATGGAAAATAGAACATATTCTTTAAAATTCATTAATATCACTGTGAATTAACACTATCATAACAGCAACACCATGAATGTTATCACTAGAAAGTCACATGACACGTTTGATACCATGCGGACAACTCCGATGTGATTTCTGGATCACGATTTACATTCTCGACATAAATGTGCAAAACTATCTAAATGTCTTGTGTGAGGTCAGGTAAGCATCTCCAGTTGAATGTTTATCGAATATTGAAAGCTGGGGTTTGTATCACAAGTGCGTCAATAAGACACTGCAGATTTAAAGAGTTTTGAATAACATACAGAATCGTCAAATATGCATTAACAGTCACGTGCTGATACCTTATATAGCTATGCTTTGGCAAAACATCACATAGAAAATGTAACTGTTTATTATGCTTTTGATAAGTCTCACGTTAACACACGACCGCTGTTGTGTAAATCTCACGATGTTGCTGACGTGAAGTACTTATATATATATATTGATATATGGATACCAACGAATCTTGTCAACCCTTCAAACTTTATCCGTAAAATTATTTTTTCATGATCACTAGAAAATCTGAAATTTAACGGAGAGAAGCAATTCGAAAATTTTCTCCAGTTTTTTTTAATCGTCGAAAATGGAAAGTTCTACACATTATTTAAAAATAACCATTGTTAAATATTTGAAAACGGCCATTTGAAATTAAAGAAATATTGAATAATTTATTAATTGAAAACACACATTCAACTAACAGCTTACTTCCTAAATGTTTGTCATGACTGTGTCGGGGCGCTCTGTACTGATCAGAGGTATGTCATGACTATGTCGGGCGCTCTTTACTGATCAGAGGTATGTCATGACTATGTCGGGCGCTCTTTACTGATCAGAGGTATGTCATGACTATGTCGGGCGTTCTGTACTGATCAGAGGTATGTCATGACTGTGTCGGGGCGCTCTGTACTGATCAGAGGTATGTCATGACTATGTCGGGCGCTCTTTAGGTATGTCATGACTATGTCGGGCGTTCTGTACTGATCAGAGGTATGTCATGACTGTGTCGGGCGTTCTGTACTGATCAGAGGTATGTCATGACTGTGTCGGGGCGCTCTGTACTGATCAGAGGTATGTCATGACTTTGTCGAGGCGTTCTGTACTGATCAGAGGTATGTCGTGACTATGTCAGGGCGCTCTGTATTGATCAGAGGTATGTCATGACTGTGTCGGGGCGCTCTTTACTGATCAGAGGTATGACATGACTGTGTCGGGGCGCCCTGTACTGATCAGAGGTATGTCATGACTTTGTCGAGGCGTTCTGTACTGATCAGAGGTATGTCGTGACTATGTCGGGGCGCTCTGTATTGATCAGAGGTATGTCATGACTGTGTCGAGGCGCCCTGTATTGATCAGAGGTATGTCATGACTGTGTCGGTGCGCTCAATACTGGCAAGAGGGTGTGTCAGGGCACTCTTTACCACGTGACCTTTGACCTATATTTGAAAAAACTTAAACATTGGCCATAACTATTTCACTAAGTGTGCACGCAATTAGCACGTGCCATGCACATTACAGTTGTAATATCCCGCTTCAGAATTTTTTGTTGCAACCGAGTGCATAGTGTTCATAAACACATTTTGTTTACATATGAAGTTGGTCAATCTGAAATGTTTTTATGTTTTTTTTTATAAGACGTCATGGTTTTTTTTACAGGCAAAACACCTGAGTCTTACAACCGGAGGTGAGAAACAAAGAACTATGGAGGGCTGTTTCAAGCTGCTACTTCTGGCTCTCCTCGCACACACAGGTAACTCACTAATTCAGTTTCTAGTTGTCTGTCTTTTTGAAAGCGAAAAATGATTAGCTTTAATTGTCTGAGATAAATAAGTGTAAATGCAGAAATATAAGTGCAGAAAACCAACCACAAATAACATTAAAATATTACATTCGGAAACATCAGTAAAATATTACATTCGGAAACATCAGTAAAATATTACAGTCGGAAACATCAGTAAAATATTACATTCGGAGACATCAGTAAAATATTACATTCGGAGACATCAGTAAAATATGACATTCGGAGACATCAGTAAAATATTACATTCGGAGACATCAGTAAAATATTACATTCGGAAACATCAGTAAAATATTAGACATCAGTAAAATATTACAGTAAAATATAAAATATTACAGTCGGAGACATCAGTAAAATATTACATTCGGAAACATCAGTAAAATATTACATTCGGAGACATCAGTAAAATATTACAGTCGGAAACATCAGTAAAATATTACAGTCGGAGACATCAGTAAAATATTACAGTCGGAAACATCAGTAAAATATTACATTCGGAGACATCAGTAAAATATTACATTCGGAAACATCAGTAAAATATGACATTCGGAGACATCAGTAAAATATGACATTCGGAGACATCAGTAAAATATTACAGTCGGAGACATCAGTAAAATATTACAATCGGAAATATCAGTAAACAGAAGCTTTTCCATTAGCCAAATGTCAGTATGCGTCTCCATAGAACATTTTCTTACACGTTACTTACCTGTAGATCGTTATGGTCCACGTGTATGTGTTTTGTACCCGTCGATAAAATGTTTTTGAGATGACCCCTGTATTTACTCGTCTCCGTCTCCGTCTCCATGTCCCGCGCTTGGTCTACCTCAAAATGAGAAATATTTATTAGTTATGAGCAAGGTTAAGTTAACAATACACAAACAAACAGACAACCAGACAGCACAAAAACAATATGCCCCCGATCTTTTCGATGCAGGGCATAAATGTACTTATTCAACGATCCATTAGCTAACTTTGTACCTAACAGTGTTGAACACAATGCGCTCGTTCTTAATCAGTGCCTAACTAGTTGACAACATCACTTACGATAGACTGATGTTCAACAAACTTCTCTTACTACAAACCCGCTGAACTGTAAAAAATAAAAAAAAAATACACATACAAGGTAATGTTAATATATTTAATGAATCTTTAAAAAAGATTATCACGTGTGAATAAGCTTTAAACACAATTTTACACTTAGAATATCCATTTTGTTTTATCAACTTTGAATTGAAAGTATAGGTAATAAACAATGAACAATGTGATCTGAAGGCAAATAGACTTATAGTAGCCACTCTTATCGTTATAATGTAGTATATGTTACAGTGAGTGATGATATAACCCGGATGTCAGTACGGTTGTTTGTTACAGTGAGTGATTGTATAACCCGGATGTCAGTACGTTTGTATGTTACAGTGAGTGATGATATAACCCGGATGTCAGTACGTTTGTATATTACAGTGAGTGATTACATTACCCGGATGTCTGGACGTTTGTATGTTACAGTCAGTACGTTTGTATATTACAGTGAGTGATTATATAACCCGGATGTCAGTACGTTTGTATGTTACAGTGAGTGATTATATAACCCGGATGTCAGTACGTTTGTATGTTACAGTGAGTGATTATATAACCCGGATGTCAGTACGTTTGTATGTTACCGTGAGTGATTATATAACCCGGATGTCAGTACGTTTGTATGTTACAGTGAGTGATTATATATCCCGGATGTCAGTACGTTTGTATGTTACCGTGAGTGATTATATAACCCGGATGTCAGTACGTTTGTATGTTACAGTGAGTGATTATATAACCCGGATGTCAGTACGTTTGTATGTTACAGTGAGTGATTATATAACCCGGATGTCAGTACGTTTGTTTGTTACAGTGAGTGATGATATAACCCGGATGTCAGTACGTTTGTATGTTACAGTGAGTGATGATATAACCCGGATGTCAGTACGTTTGCATGTTACAGTGAGTGATTGTATAACCCGAATGTCAGTACGTTTGCATGTTACAGTGAGTGATTGTATAACCCGAATGTCAGTACGGTTGTTTGTTACAGTGAGTGATTGTATAACCCGGATGTCAGTACGTTTGTATGTTACAGTGAGTGATGATATAACCCGGATGTCAGTACGTTTGTATGTTACAGTGAGTGATTGTATAACCCGGATGTCTGGACGTTTGTATGTTTCAGTGGAGAAATCTTTACAAGCCCTCCCCGGCAGCCCCAGAAAACTTTCTCTCTCTGCCTCAGATTTTCAATAAAGAAATTAAAGATAATACACAAACACTCTTCTTCAAAAAACTGTATAATGAAGTTATCTCATATGTGAAAGACTTAGGAGACGAGATAGAAATAGTATGCGTTCGGATAGTTTTATTCTGAAACACCAAATAAATTCTAATTTCATGAACTTTAATAGTGCCATAAGCATGATAATTTGAGGCAAATGTATTGACCTATCCACAAAACTCTCGTGAAAGATGGCACACTGTTTTGGATATTTTTATAAGCCAAGATGGCTGGAAAGATATCCATACTCTTCCATTTCACGAGAAAAAATACTCATAACTACAAATTACAACACAGAATTACTCAGAGAACTTTTTTTTTGATTCAATGTTATATAAACAAAAAAGTTTCGAACATCAGGAATATAAATTTTAAGTGGGGCACCTGAAGCAATATATCACCTTTTTTTGGGATTGTACACATAGTGTATCACTCTTGATATGTTTTCATAAATTCAGTCTTTCTCAGATATAATGTTGTTTTGGGAAAAAATTCTGCCTCTTTCCTATTTGGTATGGTCGAAAATGTTCAAGTGATAGGTTTAAACATATGCATTTGGCTTTTTAAGAAATACATTTCGCTGATGCGACAAAGCAATAAAATTCCAAATTGGGAATCATGCAAGATATTTGTTAAAAATTAGAGAAACCTTGATCTATATTCAACCTATTTGTTGACCTAAAATGCAGCGAACAAGATGCGGCAAAAAAATGGAAGTGTCATATTTATCTTAGAATGAATCTGTATCTGGTATTTGATTTCGTGTATGTTATCATCAAGAATCATTTGGCTCACTTGCAGTTAATCATGTGGTTGGCTCGATAAAAAAAATGTTAAAAGCTATAACAATAATTACAAAAACAAAAGCATGATTTACGTATTAAGTTATTTTACAGGGAGTGGTCAATGTCCCTGTAACGGGACCGAAACCGAATTGATGGCCGAGAAAAATACTCTATATGAAAGATCAGCTCAATGTACAGGACATGATACGTAAGTCGATAGTAACATGCATATCGTATTTTCATACCTAATTAAAAAAATATTTTACTAAAATTTGATAATCAGGTCAAAAAGAGATACACCTGTGAGACACCTGTAACGTGACACAAGAAACTGAGCTTAGGTAGAAACACTGGTGAGACACCTGTAACGTGACACAAGAAACTGAGCTTAGGTAGAAACACTGGTGAGACACATGTAACGTGACACAAGAAACTGAGCTTAGGTAGAAACACTGGTGAGACACCTGTAACGTGACACAAGAAACTGAGCTTAGGTAGAAACACTGGTGAGACACCTGTAACGTGACACAAGAAACTGAGCTTAGGTAGAAACACAGGTGAGACACCTGTAACGTGACACAAGAAACTGAGCTTAGGTAGACCTGTAACGTGACACAAGAAACTGAGCTTAGGTAGAAACACTGGTGAGACACCTGTAACGTGACACAAGAAACTGAGCTTAGGTAGAAACACTGGTGAGACACATGTAACGTGACACAAGAAACTGAGCTTAGGTAGAAACACTGGTGAGACACCTGTAACGTGACACAAGAAACTGAGCTTAGGTAGAAACACTGGTGAGACACCTGTAACGTGACACAAGACACTGAGCTTAGGTAGACCTGTAACGTGACACAAGAAACTGAGCTTAGGTAGAAACACTGGTGAGACACCTGTAACGTGACACAAGAAACTGAGCTTAGGTAGACCTGTGTAACGTGACACAAGAAACTGAGCTTAGGTAGAAACACTGGTGACTGTGAGACACCTGTAACGTGACACAAGAAACTGAGCTTAGGTAGAAACACTGGTGACACAAGAAACCTGTAACGTGACACAAGAAACTGAGCTTAGGTAGAAACACACAAGAAACTGGTGAGACACCTGTAACGTGACACAAGAAACTGAGCTTAGGTAGAAACACTGGTAGACACCTGTAACGTGACACAAGAAACTGAGCTTAGGTAGAAACACTGGTGAGACACCTGTAACGTGACACAAGAAACTGAGCTTAGGTAGAAACACTGGTGAGACACCTGTAACGTGACACAAGAAACTGAGCTTAGGTAGAAACACTGGTGAGACACCTGTAACGTGACACAAGAAACTGAGCTTAGGTAGAAACACTGGTGAGACACCTGTAACGTGACACAAGAAACTGAGCTTAGGTAGAAACACTGGTGAGACACCTGTAACGTGACACAAGAAACTGAGCTTAGGTAGAAACACTGGTGAGACACCTGTAACGTTGACACAAAAAACTCAACTTAGATATATACATTGGTGTGTCACCTAACTCACTGACAAAGATTACTCACCAAAACAATTAACACAGATAAGTCAACTAAATGATTAACACAGTCAACTCAACACTTGGAGCTTAAGTGTCCCTAAACGATGGGAAATAGAATGAAACGATCGGGGGCGTTTCACTGTTAACTCATTAAACGTTTAAATATTTTAGAGACATAGAATGTACGTGGAAGATAACATCCGACCCCGGTACCATCCTCGCAGTGTCTTTATCTGGAAGCCTAGATAATCAGAACACGGTTGATAACACAGGCAGAGCCGAAAACAGCGATGGTAAAGTTTGAACACTTTTAATAATCTTTATAATTAATTTATTTTACAACAATTGCGAAGCAAGTTTTTCCAACTTATATTAATCAGTCTTGTTGCCTCGGATGGAAGCGATGGGTCTTAGTGTGGGAGGTAACCGGAGTACCCGGAGGAAACCCACGTGTTCGGGCAGGTGACCTCATACCTTTTCACATCCATTTCGGGAATCGGACACCGGACGGCTAGGTGAAAGGCGAGTGCGTTACCACTGCGCCACCCGACCACTTATAATACGATGTTATGTGAGGCATGATTCTAACTTGGAACCACTGCATCTTAGAATTTTTGGTTACTGTAAAAATACTGCTGTTTCTGTTTTCTTGTTCCAGTAGGTATTGACACCGACGTAATAATACAGCTATAAAAATCGTTGAACCTCTTGTCTTCTTGAAAAATAATTCAAGAATGAGAAATATAATAGGTTGTGAAGGTTTTTTTCTAGGTGAAACTCAAAATTTCTTTAAAAACTTTTCACTGTTGTCACTAGCCAATGGTAATCTCGATAATTAGTATTAATTTGAAAATGATGCAGAAACTCATCGATTGTATAAAAGGTCAAATCATTTGGTTTTTTAATCAAGTCATTCGGATAAAAAAAACCTTATTGTTAACCTGTGTATCCTTGTTATACCAAAGAGAAGTTTTCGGGATATATCTTTGATAAACAATTCTCATGGATTCAGAGTTGCTCAGAATATTCCAAGCTTTAAGCTTTAAGCAAAATAAATTGCGAAAGTTCATTCCACATAAAATTGCTATATTCCTTCCCAGATTTAAACACTTTTTAAAATCTATTGTTGACTGAATAATTATATTCCATCAGATGGTTGTAGTGTTCTTCTCACACAACCCAGCTTAAGTGACAGAATGAATGCA